TCGTCACTCCTGGTATCACCCTATCCCGGGGGGTGGGGGGACTAACAGAGGATGGATGAGGTTCCCAATCCTTTCTCTGGGATACGTTGGGATCTTCGAAGCTGCAGCCAGTCAGATAGAGCCCGCCTCATTTCCTGGCTGACATCATCTAGCACTTTCCTCCCCAGCCTGACTGGCCCTGGCCCGCCAATGCCCACGGAGCATTGCCCAGAGGTCCGGACATCATATCACCTGCTGCTATAGAGACGAGATATCGGTGATCATCCCTAGGTCATGTGATCATCCCCTGCAGAGCCGCTGCATGGAAAGTAACTGCGATTGCAAGCTTCGGTACACAGTCCCGGGCAGTTTTGCATTCCAAAGCCATGCGGGGGGCGGAGGGCCCATCATGGGCAGCAAATCTGTGGAGGGGCCGCATGTCCACATTCTTTTAATTTTCTTACATTCCCATGTCTTCCTACTTTAGGGGCCCTAAGTTTTCTTCTGGGTCCCAGGCTAAGGGCAATGTGCCTGAGGAGTGACTGCTATAGCTAGTCAGTCCTCTGCTGAAGTCTATCAAGTGCAGTTCCTGATCGCCATCTAGTGGTGACTCTATGAAGTGCAGTTCCTGATCGCCATCTAGATGTGACTCTATGAAGTGCGGTTCCTGATTGCCATCTAGTGGTGACTCTATGAAGTGCAGTTCCTGATCGCCATCTAGTGGTGACTCTATGAAGTGCGGTTCCTGATCGCCATCTGGTGGTGACTCTATGAAGTGCGGTTCCTGATCGCCATCTAGTGGTGACTCTATGAAGTGCAGCTCTTGATCGCCATCTAGTGGTGACTCTATGAAGTGCGGCTCCTGACCGCCGTCTAGTGGTGACTCTATGAAGTGCAGCTCCTGATCGCCTTCTAGTGGTGACCCTATTAAGTGCAGCTCCTGATTGCCATATAGTGGTGACTCTATGAGGTGCCGTTCCTGATCGCCATTTAGTGGTGACCATATGAAGTGCAGCTCCTGATCGCCATATAGTGGTGACTCTATGAGGTGCAGTTCCTGATCGCCATTTAGTGGTGACCATATGAAGTGCAGCTCCTGATCGCCATCTAGTGGTGACCCTATTAAGTGCAGCTCCTGATTGCCATCTAGTGGTGACTCTATGAAGTGCAGTTCCTTATCGCCATCTAGTGGTGACTCTATGAGGTGCCGTTCCTGATCGCCATCTAGTGATTACCATATGAAGTGCAGTTCCTTATCGCCATCTAGTGGTGACTCTACAAGGTGCAGTTCCTGATCGCCATCTAGTGGTTACCATATGAAGTGCAACACTTCTGCACACATACACCACAGCAATGAAGTATGAAAATGAACTAGGATCACACTAATACAGCACGTTATTAATCTCAGGTGCCCCACTCGATATGGCCGCCGCTGTAGTGGGGCACCTGAGATTAATAACCTGCTGGATGAGTGTGATCCTACTTCATTTTAATACTTAATTGCTGTGGTGTATGTGTATAGGTCATTGCTGTGCTGTATGTGTATAGGTCATTGCTGTGCTGTATGTGTATAGGTCATTGCTGTGCTGTATGTGTATAGGGCATTGCTGTGCTGTATGTGTATAGGGCAATGCCGCGGCTGGCGCTCGTGCAGAAGAAGTTTCTTGCCCAAACCTCGTAGTTCTAACTAAACCGGAAATCAGGCAGTTGCAGCTTTCGATAGAACACCGGAGGTGTCGCAGTGTATTGGTCGCCATCTAGCGGCGTTCCCCGGTACGACTCTTGCCAGCTTGTTCGCTGTCAATAAAGCTGTGTGAGGCCCTGTGTCCGGAGCGTCCTTGTGTCATGGCGGAGTATAAGGACAGTCGTTACGCCAGCCGGCCGGCGGAGTTGGATCCGGCCCAGTATTTTGGGCTGAGCCAGGAGAAGAGGAAGTTGCAGGAGGAGAGGGTCGCCGTGCGGTCCCGGCTGAAGAGAGACTACCAACTACAGCTCAATGACCCCCTGAGGAAGGGCTCGGTGGTGGGTAATGGGGGCGGGGGGGTAGAGGTCACCATAGGGAGGATGATGGGGTGGTAGATGTCCCCAGGTGGAGGGTAATAGGGAGCCGGGGGTAGATGTCCCCAGGTGGAGGGTAATAGGGAGCCGGGGGTAGATGTCCCCAGGTGGAGGGTAATAGGGAGCCAGGGGGTAGATGTCCCCAGGTGGAGGGTAATAGGGAGTCGGGGGTAGATGTCCCCAGGTGGAGGGTAATAGGGAG